ATACAAACTAAACTTAAAGAAAGAAAGAGGAGTAAAAAGTGCAAGGAAAAGGAAAGAAAAAGAAAAGAAAAAGTAAGAATATAATAGAGAAAAGAAATATATACTGTAAGTGACTTCCAACCTTCATCACAACAAGTATAAACAAATTTTGTAACTCTTCACCCTCTCTAAAGTTACATTTATCTCTTCATCCCATCTCCTATCTATAAACAAATCCATAAAACATCATCTTTTCAATCCTGGTGTCAGCAGAAAGTCCAAAAAGGGTAGCCAGAAGTAACAACATGTCTTATTTTAACCTTGGTTAAATAAACCAACTTTATATTCCTTCCTTTTATTTTTATTAATCTTTTGTTCATTCAAATATTGTCGTAGGATTTGATTTCTCTTCATTTCTTCCTTGTCCCATTGCAGAGAGTTCTTCAAGGCTTTAACAAGCCTCTTTTGTAAATCCAGTAGGAAAAAAATTATTTTCTTCAAGGCTTTAACAAGCCTCTTTTGTAAATCCAGTAGGAAAAAAATTATTTTCTTCAAGGCTTTAACAAGCCTCTTTTGTAAATCCAGTAGGAAAAAAATTATCCAGGTCACTTTTTTGGTTTGTGATTTGTATTTCCCCTTTATTTTTGAAAACTTCAGCCAATTTCTTTTCTAGATCCAGTGAAACAACCTTTTCTAAATCATTATCTTGGCCTGTCAGTTGTGAATCCACTTTCAATACTATCTCTATCTTGCCAGATAAATTTTGTTCTACATCTGACATTTCTTCAATAATATCTTTTGGACACAGTCTATCCATAGAAGCAGACATCATTACTGACATTGTTGATATCATGGCTACTATTTTCTGAATCCATTCTTCAAAAGTCGTCTTCAGTATTTTTATTGTTATAACTATTTTGCAGGCCTGTATATCTTTCCTCTACCTAAAATCTTCAGTGCCCTCTATTGTCCAGTTTTTGAAATCAAGAAATTATTTATCTATGTTGTGTCTTGTAAAAAACAAAACAGAATCTATTTCCCATGAGAAGCTGTTTGTACTTTATAATTAATCCCAAAATCTTATTGTAAAAGTTTCAATGTTTCAATTTTATCTGGACCCTTAATCCATATATAACTTTCTAAGATCAAAATCTTATTTAGTTTTTTGTTGTTTATTTCAGATTCTTTAAATTCTTAAGCTTATAATTAACGTTTTCTTTCATTCAGGATTAAAGACAGACTCACCCGGCATTTTCAAACTTGTCATTCCGAAGCTCTCCAATACCTTAGAAGTAGTTAATAAGCAATTTCCAAAAGTGATTAGAAAGTGAGGTTTACTAACTTAGTCTCCTTTAACAGTCTCTGCTGTGATTGCGAGCAAGATGGTTAATCCTGTTGTCTCCTGCACTCAAACCTGCAGAAAACCACTATCCTGCAGTCTCCTCGTGGGAGGCAGCCATCCAGAGCACATGTGGGCAATCGCCTGTCCTCTGCTTATCTGGAGAGGTTCCAAGGAACTGGTCTACTCACCGGTTCCTTGGTCTTTGCTGCAGTTGTTGGCTCCGCTTTCGCAGAGGTGTCTTTAGTTTCCCATATATCCCCTGGAAGACCTAGCAGTTTTTTCCCCAAAAAATTAAACATATAGGTGTTCATTCAGTGGTATCTGTCAATGAAATATATCTTTTTTTCTTCCTGAAATCCCTCTGTACCTCTCACATCTCCTCTAGTAGGCTGGGAGTTTGGGAAATGAAGAAAATGTGTGCTTGTGACAGCTTGCATGAAATTGATTATAGCTACAGGGTTATGGGTTTTTACTTACAGTCTACAATGGCAATATTTATTCCTCTTCCAGCATTTTCTTGTTGTTCACTTATTAGTCTGAAATCGAAATAAATATAAAGTATCAATATAGGATAAGCCTTTCCCATTAAGTTAATTATTGTGTGCCTTAGTATTTTAGATAAATATTTTAATAGGATGCTGGAAGCTTCAGAGCCACATGAATTTAGGAAATGGCTTTGCCATGAAGGACTTTTCTAGATGCGATTCTCGTAACTTTTTTAAAGCTATGGTTTAATAATAAATGGTGATTTAAGGGAATCACACAGTTCTACCTACTATCTCCTTCTTTCTGGAGAGCTGGGATTTTATCTTCTAGAATTTATAGTGAGCATTGCTACTTTGGTAGGTCTCAGTGATGTTGAATGCCAATATGGCCTTAAATACTTACAGTTCATCTTCAAAACAGATTTGGGGAAATCTCTCATTCCCACCTCCACTGCGTATGTGATAAGCATAGCTCCTAGGCAAACATGGAGACCAGTGGCCACATTTCTGTCTTTTGGGAAATGGCACTATAATGGACAACAGAGAAGTAGTCTTTGACATCATACATTCATAACTGAATCTTAGTAGCTATAACCAGAGATTAATTTGTTTAAGCAATTTCTGTTCATTTTATCCTCATTATTGTAGATCTTTTTGAAAAGCCTCATTGGTCAGGATCTTGACAAAATTATAATTATGTTTAATTTTTTGTTGGTGAAATATAACAAACAACTACAACAACAACATACATGAGTGGTTGAATAGTAAAAAAAATCACGTACATTATAAACATAAAGAAGACATTAAAAAAACTTTATTAAGAATTTTAAAAAATAAAGTAGAGATATCAACATCCAAGATACCTGAGAAAATATTCCTTATCCAAGGAAACTCTAGTACTAGAAGATGAAATTAGGTCAGCTATCCAGACATTGTTGGAACACTGTAGGAAACAATGGAATATCTACAGAAATATAGCAGAAATATAGTAAGCAACAGAAGAAGAATCAGTAAAGGTCTGAACCAAACTGTGCCAGAAAATCTGGAAAACAACACAGTCAACAGATTAGAAGAGATCAATCTATATACCAATACAAATAAAGAAAACTTAACAGATATGCAACTATCACACAGTATTCTTAATTTCATATGCTAGCAAAATAATGCTTAGGACCATCCAACACGTATTAGAGTCCTACGTGGAAAAGAGATGCCAGATGTTCAAGCTGGCTTTAGAAAAGGCTGAGGAACAGGAGACATTATTGCTTATGCACATTGGATAACTGAGATAGCCAAAGAATATCAAAAAGAAGTCAATGTGTGCTTTATTGATTATAGAAAGGCCTTTGATTGTATCACCACATCAAACCATAGAACATGCTTAGGAAAATGGGAATCCCAGAACCTCTCACTTCTCCTCATGAGAAACCTATACACAGGTCAGGAAGCCATTGTCTGGATGGAATATGGCAGAAAAGACTGGTTCCAGGTTGGCAAAGGAAGGATACAAGTTTGCGTATTCCCTTCTTCATTATTCAACCAATTTGTTGAATATATATTAAGGGAAGCTGGATTGGAAGAAGATGAGCATAGTTTTAATATCAGACGAAGAAACATCAATAACTTGTGTTATGTTGATGACTCTACTCTGGTAACAGAAAATGCAAATGATCTGAAAACTCTAGTAATGAAAGTCAAGGAGCACAATGAGAAAATGGGATGATTGGGGGAGATGGGCGGCATACAAATTTAAGAATGAATGAATGAATGAATGAATGAATGAATGAATGAATGAAGATTAAATATAAAAAAGACCAAACTAATGACAACAGGTACAGCAATCAGCCTTTGAACAGATAATGAAGATACCTTCAGTGCCTTTTAGGATGTAGTATCAACATTAAAAGAACCAGTAGTCAAGAAATACACCACAGACTAGTACTGTATAAAGTAGTAATGAAAGCCTTGGAAAAGGCATTCAGATGCCATGATATCGACAAAGATCAGAATTATGTAGGCAATGGTTTTCCCTGTGTTACTCTATGGAAGTGAAAGTTGGATTTGAAGAAGCAAGATAGAAAAAGTATTGGTGCTTTGAACTTGGTATTGGAGAAGACTTCTAAGAATACCATGGATACCCAAGAAAATAATTAAGTGTAGCATAGAACAAATCAGAGTTCTCACTTAGAAATGACCAAACTCAAATTACCATATTTTGTACACATTATATGAAGACCTAGCTCACTTGATAAGTCTGTGAAAAGGCGGAAAGAAGAGGATGACCAGCAGCAGAGTGAATGGGCTTGATTCCAGTGGTGATTGATACACTGTCAGAAGACCTGAAGAGTTGGGTTGGGAACAGATCATCCAGGAGAAGGCCTAGCTAAGTGGTCTCTGAGAGCTGATACTGACTTCTTGGCACATGGTTAATCAAAAGGTAAAAGGAAGCAGAATACCTTTGTTTCAAGAAGATTCTATTTCAGTATCTTACTTTAGCAAAGAATTTGCACTAGGTTCTTAATTCATGTTTGTGTGTAATGCAGAGTCTCACGGTCTTATGTACTTATTTATCTGTACAAGTTAGGGAACTTCTATTCCTGCTTCAGATTGTGTTCCAGAGCATATCATTTTCTCTGTGAAACTGTCCTGTTATCCACAGTATTAATTTGGCATACATTGCCATCTTGTGGTGTGCCCCAAGCTTTTCATTTTCTTTTAGACTTTTCTTGTAAAATTTCCAGCTGCTCTTTTCTCACGATGTATCTGTATCTCTTTTGATAAGGAATGCTTGCATTTCTCTATTGACATTTTTAAAAATGATTTTTCAGTTTAAACTTTTTGTATACAAATAGATTTATTTCATTTACTTTTCTTCTTTTACCTTCCCTAGTAATCAATGTATTTCTCCCAACTGCTATCTACTCTTCACTTCCTGAGTACTGTATCTCAGTATCGCTGTATCTCACTGCAAAAATCCAGATGGCCACTAAATGATAGCACATAGATGAAGTTTTCACTGCACTGTTTCAGTGCCATCTTGATTTTTTTCCCTATACTTGAGGACACCCCTGTTTTTCATTTGTGAAGACAATACTAGTCAGTGGAAACCCCAAGCTGTCATGATTCAGCTGGTTCAGCAGTTGGTGCTGGAATAATTGCACCAACTATTTATCTTTTCAAATGTTCTTAATAAATTCACTTGGTGAGTCTAGCAAATAAGCTATTGGTGTATATGTTAGTTATGTACTTCACCTCAATACAATATACTCTCTCAAACATACACATATCCACAAAAGTATCTTATTCAGTTTTTTAGACTGTGACAACAGTTCAGTCCCTAGGTCACCTTACTGAAATTACATAGTAGGGGTATCCCCAGGGGTTGTCAAAAATTCAAGATGGAAGCCATAACTGTACAGTCAAAGCCCTATTACTTTTTTACAAATGTGGCACACACAATGTTGGTAAAAAATGGGTAGGCTTTGATTGCCTGGTCACATCACCTTGACTTTTTTTTACTCCCCCTCCCCCCCCCCAATGCTGCATGACTGCTCCTAATACTAAGTCCCAACATATTTCACTCTTTGGATTTGGGTCAATATTTACATTGCAAGTTGTGTTTACTAAGAAGTGAAAGTTTTCCTTTTATAAAACAAAACACTACCTGACCAACCATCTTAACTAGCAAGAATATAAAATATATTGCGTCTTTAAGATATGACATCTGTAAATCTGTACTCCCTGCCTTCATCTCCCATTTCTTGATGCAAGTTGTCCGACACAAGATGCAGCCAATGAGGTGAAGTGAGGGTGTGCCCTATGCCAATACATCTGCTTGGTTTAACTAAACATGAACTGGATATGTGGGCAGATGACAGTCAAAGGCTTCAGAAACCAAAGGACCTACATTAACACATAGTCCATACAAGAAGACAGACTTTCTTTTGCAGATACAAAAATGAAAACTCAGTACATCTTAAACATATATTTTGGAAATGTGATCACATACTATGCATTTTTGGGTTTTCTGCAAGGTTCTGAAGTTTGTCAAATGTTGATACCAGTGCGTCTTGAGGTATGAAATATGCCAATAATGACCCCAAATACCAAGCGCAGGCAGATGCAAAGATAAATCCTCCAAATTTCATAAAATCTGAAAAAATAGAACAAAACAAGTAAGAAAACCTAAATAAGGCCAGAAAG